CAGAGGTGATTTCAGTAGCTGGAGGAGTACTCAATCCAGTAGCTGATTCTGGAGCTTAGGAAGGGTACTGTTCATCAACAAACACATCCATGTGTTCAGTCACAGGATCCATGCCGACGTCGTTTTCAGGAGGCGTTTGAGGCGTGGAAAAAGGAAATATTTCTTCAAAAAACTTAACGTCCCGAGATACAAAAATCTCCAAGGTCTCCGTATCATGTAAACGCCACCCCTTTTTAGCAAAAGGATATCCCAAAAATACACACTTGCGACTTCGTGAAGAGAACTTATCACCCTTGGCCTTGAGATTATGCGCATAGCATAGACACCCAAACACCCGAAGTTCAGAATAATTTGGTTGGCGTCCATACAATATCTCGTAGGGAGTGCGTTGAGACAGTACTTTGGATGGTGTGCGATTAATTAAGTATCCTACCGTCAACACACACTCCCCCCAATAAGTAATAGGCAAAGCGCCCTGAAAGCGTAAAGCTCGTGCAACGTTCAATATATGACGATGCTTACGTTCCACACGTCCATTCTGTTGAGGAGTTCCCACACAAGATGTCTCAAAAATGATTCCATGATCAGCAAAAAATTGCTTAATACAATTAAACTCAGTACCATTATCACTTCTCACACGGCGAATGGTTTGAGAAAATTGACATTGTACTAAAGCAATAAAAGACATGAAACAGGAGTATACTTCCTTTTTATCAACCAAAAGATATATCCACACAGCCCGTGAAAAATCATCTACAATTGTGAGAAAGCTTTTGGCACCGCAAGTTGAAACAATCAGACAAGGACCCCAAACATCAATATGACTCAAATAAAAAATCCTACTAGCTTTATTATCACTCAAAGGAAAAACTTCACATGTTTGTTTGGCACGGAAACAAATATCACAAGGGGAAACAACACTACTATCAACAGATGACAAAGATTTAATTAAATTTTCAGACGGATGCCCTAGCCTTTTATGCCAAAGATCTGATGGTAAGTCCACACCATTCACTGCCACACACTGTCTAGAATCTTGTTTAAAATAATATAGGCCATCCCATCTTTCACCCGTTCCAATCAGCTTTCTCGATTGTCGGTCCTGAAGAACACAAATATTAGTGACAAATTGAACTACACAATTCAAATCATCTGTCAATTGTGACACAGAAATCAAGTTGCACCGTAATTGAGGTACATATAAAACATTTTTTAATGAGATAAATGGTGACAAAATGACTGTTCCTTGCTTCATGGCCGTTACGACCTGTCCGTTGGGTAAATTGACCGGGCAATTATTCACATCATGAATATCGAGTCAGAAAATCAGCACTTCCGGTGACATGGTTTGTTGCCCCCGTATCAAGTATCCACAAAGAGGAATAAAACTTACCAGTCATATGATCAGATGGAGCTGTGTTTTTACCGAAAGCTTTTGTAAGTGCGCGCCAGTGCTTGGCAGTGAAACCTGGTAGTGCCTCGGCAGAAGCTTCCCCTTGCTTTTGCGAGTTCAACTTAGGAGCTGCACTAGTTGTTGCATGTGCTTTTACAGTAGGCAGTAGCCGAGCCACGCCCAATCCCTATTTTCCCTCGTCCAGCACCTTTGATAATTCCTCGCGGACGGTCGCCCCGCCAATCCGGATAACCAATTAGCTGGAAACAACCTATGATCTCATGCCCCAAGAAATTGCAATGCGTGCAAATCATTCCAGATTTATCTACTTTAGGAGCTTTATTATTTTCCCTCCCCACGGTCTTTGCCGCAAAAGTCATAATATCAGGTTTATCTTCCTTTTTCTGAACAGTTCCGCGAACCCGCTCTTCTTGCGTTATCTGATGGTACGCTCTATTCAGAGCCGGGAGAGGTACCTGAGAAAGCAAATTAGATCGCAGCTGTGCATAATACTCAGGAGTTAATCCCATAAAAAATTGATGGAACCTTTCTGATTATCGTCGTTGAGCATGTAATTCTCCGAATTTGCATGTACACTTCCCGCATGTACAATTCAACAACGGTTCATAATTGTTTAATTCATCCCACCACATCTTAAGTTGTCCGTAATACATTGCAACCGGCATAGTAGGTGATTGTTCACACTTCGCTATGTTCACCTTTAGCTGATGGATACGTGGTCCGTCCACAACTGAAAATCTCTCTTTAATTAAGGTCCTCCCATAAAAGTCGCGCATCATATTGAGAGAGAGTGCTTCTTACTTCCGGGGCTATGGTGTTCATCAGCCATGGCACGAGCATGGAGTGATTAGTTTGCCAGTCATCTTCCGTACAACGATTTTCGTAGGTTTTTATCGTGCCATCTATTAATACAAATTTACGACGTGCTTTCAGTGCCAGGCGTACAGATCCTGCCCAGTCGTCGTAGTTCTCACCCTTGAGCCGAACGAGAGTAGTATAATCCCCCGGTCGATCTTGAGGTCCAAGATAAAACGGAGAAGTGTGATCAATTTTAAACGATGAGGTGCTGCCATCTTCATCGTCCTTGCCGATTGCCATGTTCGTCGGCGATATTTAACGTTGCTCACACGAGCAACTGCTCTGATACCATAATAGGAGAGAGTATATTTGTGAGAAAATTGATCTGTGTTATTCTTCAGCTTATCGCTGGTATAAATAGAACTTCGAACTGCATGAGTCCTAATAGAACTAAGCAGTAACACAACCTACTGCCTTTAGAAGGCTAGTTCCGTAGGAAACAATAAATAGAAATAATAAAGGAATAAATAATTAATCTAATTATTAACACTGTAACAACTTCCATGCTTGTTTGGCAAGCATTGCAATATTAAACTCATGTAGTCTTCTAAAGCCCATCCCCCCTTATTTCTTTGGAGCACATAGCCATTCCCAATTCAACCACCGAATTCCCCTACTTGAACAACCTTTCTACCAAAAACCATTCATGATCCTCTCTATTTCTTCACATTCATTGCATAGCTAAGCATGGCATGGAGCCCAATTTTAATGAGGATTTCTCGGCCAGCCCTAGCCAATTCTAATTAGATTTTTAGCCCCCGCTTCCATTAGATTAACCCCCCCCCAACATTTCCTTGAAGCCCTCTTACCGATCATTATCCACATTGGCGCTAAAAAAATGGTCAACTATGTATCATTAATAACCTGTCATGTGGCCACTGCATAGTCCTCCAGAACATTCTTAATAATCGAGCATTTTTGGGACCTGGTTGGACCGGATGTGGTAGTTTTTTGTCAGCAGATATTTAATATTGGCATTTTTCATGAGGGTTTAAATCATACAAATATAGTCTTAATTCCTAAAAAGGACAATCTTTAGACTATTACTGATTGGAGGCCAATATCTCTTTGTAATGTTGTTTTTAATTTTTCTTTGAAGTGTTGGCTAATAGATTGAAAGGTTTGTTGGGCCATATTATTTCTCAAAATAAAGTGATTTTGTCCCCGACGATCTATTATTGATAATATCATGATTGCTTTCGAGGCACATCACTATCTCACGTGAAAGAGGCAAGGAAATGATGAGTTTGTAGCTTTAAAGCTTGACATGAGCAAAGCTTATGATAGAATAGAATGAAATTTTCTGGAAGCTATTCTGGCTCTTTTGGGCTTTGATGCTAATTGGGTTTTTCTTGTGATGCAAACAGTTAAGATGGCTTCGTACTCTATTCCTTTTGATGAGGTAAAGTTGGGGCCAATTATTCCTCAGAGGGGGCTACAAAAGGGGGGCCCTCTATCTCCTTATCTTTTTATTCTGGCGGCTGAAGGTTTGAGTGCTAGACTTCGGCATGAAGAGGCGGCGGGCAGACTCCATGGGGTGAGGGTGGCAAGAGGTGCTCCTAGAATCTCTCATCTTCTTTTTGCCGACTGTTTCTTGTTTTTTATGGAAGTTTAAGAAACGACTAATAGTACTTGACTACTAAAAAATAACTTAGCTACAAATTAGAAAATGATGCATGTCATATATAACATATACAAACTGTTATTTAATACTAAAGAAACTCATACAATTTATACGGGTATATAAAGCATAAGAACTACTATCTAACGCACTGTACGTATGCAAAACATTACGACAAGTACCTTAAACAAAAAAATCGGTACTTAACACAAAACACTTAAGAACTAATTAATATCTAACACATAATGACTTCATGCATACAACTTAAACTAGTATATAACACACACGAATCAGTATCTAACTCATAATACGTATATATCTCAAGAACTAGTGGCTATCTTATATTATATATGCAAAAACCTAAACAAGCAAGTATTGCACAAGAATCAATATCTTACGCACAACCATCAAGATTAGATGGACATGAAGAGACATCATACATATATTATTTATCTAGCGCACAAGAAGCAATATGTAGTATACAAAAACATATGAAAATCACAAGTTAACACACAAGTTAAAAACCATTATTATTTGATGCACATCTATGTAAATACACAAGAGAAAATATTTAACACACAATAAACGAATATGTATTGAAGAATATAATGATGATGTGGCGAATAATATAAATTACTAAGAAATATAATTACATGATAACACTCCTTCCAAAAATAATACATTCTTTTTAATAATTCAAATATGCATGAGCAACCGTTACCATATAAGCTAAAATTAATATTGACTAACATTAATTATAAACAACATGACAAGCAGTTATCAAAATAAAATAAAAAGAGGTGATTACTAAAATATCCCATAACAAATGTACAACTTAATCTTACGAATTTTACACGTGTAAAGATAGGGTTGATTCTTATTTCTTATAATAATTATTGTTCTTATTTTATCCTAATTGTATATATAAGGTGTGGATTAAAAAATGGTTTTAACGTCTAAAATGCAAAATATTCACTTTTGTAGGGATACACTTCACTTTTATGTTTAGGTACTGCACTTTTTCACATTTGTAATAATACACTTTTTAAAAAACTATACGGTGAATAAACAACTGTTTTGGGTCCACCCTTATTTATACTAGTATACCTTTTGGGCTTTGTATGTATGCACAAGGTTTCCATTTGGACGCTTCATGAGAGTAAGGCTCTTCCCATAATTGCTTCATCTCATCTTGCTTAAAATCTTTCTATTCTTGCAATAGCATTAAAGAATGTATAAGAATATGATATATATTTCACGAAATGAGAGTAAATAAAATGTGAAATTATATGTTAAGATAACTGTATTATATTTTCCCCTTATATAATAGTAAATTACTGTCATTCTGAATTCACTGTCATATTTTGACATACTAGACATTAATATGATAGTATTTATACCAAATAGGCATTACTTGGCAAGCATGGCAATATTTTTCTTATTTTGGAATTTCTCTTATATTTTGAAAAATATAATACTCCTATATAAGACGCTACACATTCTAATATATGATTTTGCATATTTCTGAATATGATAACACACAATTGAGAAAATTGTCAAATTGGCCCTCCACTTTGTATGAAAAGTCAGTTTTGCCCCCACACTTAAACTTTGATCAATTATGCCCCCTACTATGAAATTTTCTTCAAAAATAATTTTTAGCAGGTAACCCATTGTTAAGCAGGTTACCTACTGACGTGGCACACGCGTGGACTGAAACAATGCACACGTGGCAGCCCACATCACCTTTCCCCCATTTTTTTCTTTTTCGATCCTTTTCCTCTTTTCTTTTCCTCTTTCAATTCTTTCTCTTTCCCCTTCGTCCTTTCTTCTTGCGCAGATTCCTCCATGGGCCATGGCACCAGAAACAAGTCTAGAAAATATGGGATGTGTTGGGCTGGAGAGTAATGATACTAGGATTAAACATTAATAGGGTGGGTTCAGTATAAAAATGGAAAATATTACACTACAAAAATTGGAAAAAAAATAAGTTACCCTGAGCTTCATCCCACCAAAGCCCTTACATAGATCCTCCCCTGCAAGGCATGAATTCTTTCGCATAGTTTCATCCATGGCTTGATTTCATCCGAGGATCCATATCTCTTCCTCATGTAAGGCTTAATTTTGCAGCTTAGATTCGACGACTAAACCCAAATAATGGCGACTGGCGTCGAAGCTTACCGGCGAAGAGGACAACCACAGAGAGTTGGGCGGACGCCGACTAGTGGATGCGAGGGCAGACGCCGACTAGTGGATGCGAGGGCGGCTAACATGGAAGACCTCTGGAGCAGTTGGCATGGCTTCTGTTGGTCACGAAACAACTTTGCTGCCGTGTAGAACAGTCGACTGAGGAGGCCCTCTCCATCCTCCCCTTGTCTCCACCCTTGGTTTGGTGCAAGTTTTAAGAAAATAAAGGATAAACTAGTAAATTATGAAATAATAAAAACGGATAAAGGGAGAAAATAAAATCTTAGTGTAGTCCAATTTAAGAAAGTGTTTATTTTTTTGGGACGACCTATAGGGCCGAGTTCTAATAAAAAGTAGTTTTTAAAATACAAAATGGGAATGTCTCCACTTTTGAGCGTCTGAGTTGCATTATTGCATTGATTTGTTTTGACATCCACTTTTGATCCCAGGTGAGAGTGTTTTCACTCAACATAGGATGCTTGTTGTGACACCGCACCCGAATGTACTTGAAATTAAGATTCATTATGTATTCGAATTTCACTTTTAATAATTGCGTGTGAGAGGATGATGGATTTATTTAATGAATAACTATATATTATTTATTGGGCCCATTATATTGGGAGGGACTGCCAAATATTTAGTTGGGTCATCATACTAATTATAGAAACCCAACTAAAATGCAAATTAAAGCTAAGGAAAATGATTGGGCAACCCAAGTGCTAATTTGACCCAACTTGCTAAAAATAGCGTGATCATGGCCCGATCCGACTCTAAAGAGTGTGTCCGACAGCATGGACTTATAGCGTGATCACATGTACGAGTGGAATCCCCGGAGGTCACACGAGTCTCCCAACAGCGATAACACTTAAGATAGGACCCCGAATGAACCTTACCTTCCTACGGGAAGAAGGGTATGAGTCCATGGGAGGGATGTTGGACACCGGTTTGAGGACCCCACAAGGCATCCGACAGCGGTGACAAGTCTCATATGATTGATAAGACCTACGTGTTATATCATGTGAACGATAAATGAAATGAAATACTAAATGGGCCCACGTGCTGACAGATTAACTTATATGAATAAATAAAAGGGGGAAATATGATTTATTACCTATATTATGATATCACCCAATTTGAGGGTCTTAGGAATTGAAACATTGATTATATACAATATAGTTGTCATTGTACTTTTCAAATGCTTCAAAGTACTGACCTCCCTTTCCCGGGGGAGGGGGGCACCTCACAGTTTCAGGTAGAAGTTAGAGCCTGCTACCAGTACCCGTTGCTTTGGAAAGATCTTGGAGGGAAGACTTGGTTCGTGCTTCCTCCGTTTTTTTTTTATTTCAAAACAATATTAATAATGCTCATGGATAATATTTTATTGTAAACTATTTGGGGGCTTGCATGCATAAGTTTTCCCAATGTGGCTTGAACTCTTTTGTATTATTTCCGCTGCTTGAATGAATATTTTACATGATGTTTGTTTGTGGATGTACTATGTGTGAATGATATTCATGATGCCTAGTATAGTACGAGTATGCTTGATTTTGGTTGACTTATTTGGACTGTACGGCAGTTGTGACATGTCCGGGTAAGTCCGGGGTGTGACACTTGTGCTTGATTTTGAATGTAAGAATAGAAGGCGGGTTAAAGTACAAGTGGAGCCAAAGATAAAGTAGCGGAGGATGAAGGGGGATCTCCAACAAAGTTTTCACACAAAATATTGGAGGAAGATGTATGGTGTATTGGTAATGATGCACGTGTGGATGATGTATGGTTATCAATGAAGTCGACCATTAACAAAGTGATGAAGGAGATACTCAGAGAATCTCAAGGATGTCAGCCACCAAAAAAAGGAAACATCTTGGTGGAGTGATGAGGTGAAACAAGCAATAAGGACCAAAAGAGAATGCTTCAAAAATTTGGGAAAAAGTTGGAGCGATAAGAACATAGAGGAGTAGAAGGAGGCTAGAAGCAAAACAAAGAAAGCTGTAAAAGAAGAAAGAGGGAAGTGAACAAGGAATTGTATGTAAAATTGGACTCTAAGGAATGAGAAAACGATATTTACAGACTTGCTCGCCTTCGTGATCGTAGGACTCAAGATATCGGAAAAGTTAAGTGTGTGAAGGATGTCAATCAAAGGCTATTAATGGAGGGAGAGGAAATAAAAGAGAGGTGGAGGTCATACTTTGATACCTTATTCAACGGGAATAAAGTGAAAGGTAGTGATGATCTTACTATACCATAATATATGGTAAATTGGGACTTTGAGATATGGATCCAAACGACATAAGTTAAAGAGGCCCTAAGAAATATGGGGGGGGGGGGGGAGCAGTGGGTCCAGATGGCATACCAATCGAGTCTTGAAGAAGTTTAGAAGAGAAAGGCATCGAGTGCTATCACGTTTTTTCAACATGATTTGGAGAAACAACAAAATGCTAGCGAGTTCGCGGAAGAGTACTCTCATTCCCCTATTTTAAAATAAGGGTGATGTAGAAGAATGTGCAAGTATCGAGAGATTAAGCTTATGAGCCACACCATTAAACTTTGGGAGCGAATGGTTGAGCAAAGGCTTCCAAAAAGTGTGAAAATTACGGAGAATCAGTTTGGTTTTATGCCTGGACGCTCAACAATTGAGGTCATTCACCCTCTTATACAAATTGTGGAGAAGTATAGAGACACTAAAAAGGATATGCATTTGATGTTTATTGACTTAGAAAAGGCTTATGATAGAATACCTCGAGAAGTTCTTTGGCGGGCCTTAACTAGAAAAGACATATCACGTAAGTATATCAATATCATCATGGATATGTATGAGGTTTGTACTACAAAAGCTCGTACTAGTGTAGGGAGGATCACAGAGTTCCCTATTACTATCAGAGTGCACCAAAAATCGACTCTGAGTCCTTTCTTATTTGCTATAGTCATGCATGAACTTACGAAGTTCATTTACAAAAATAAAAACACACTTTTATCGTGCATATTTTGAACGAGAATACATGTCCTAAGAATACCTGTGCTAGAGAATTGGCAGCCAGGTCTAGGAGTCGATCATTCATCGTAATTGGGCCCATTTCATCTTTTTCGTGCAGATGAAAACTTTTCTTTTCCTGACCGAAGTAGAGTCAATATATGAATCCTCTAAATAAATAGTTTTGAAAGGTTTAAAAATGTTTTTGGTCCCTGTAAATATAGTAAATTTTCTTTCACATCCCTGCAAAATTATTTTTTATTTTTCACTTCTGAAATTTATGTTGGTTTTCTTTTTAATCCTTCACCGATGAAACATCCTCCGTTTGACCTTAAAATAATTCAGACCAATACATTTCCTCTAATTCTTTGTCAAATTATTCAAAAGTATTGAAATAATTCCAAATATATAATTAAAACAAAAGTAGTGGATAAAAATGTGACCCTGATAACTTTAATGACTATCTTTGTATTAAAATGTTGGATTATAGTGACTATAAAACTGACTTATAGTCACATTTTTGTCCATAAATTTTTTCATAATAATATTTTAGGAACAAGTTCAAAAGTATTTACTTTCATTTTTAGATGTTTTTTAATAAGTATTTTAAAATTTTCAATTATTAATTTTACATTGTTTTAACACTCATATTTGCCTAAAAAATCACAAAATGATAAATTTAAATGTTTCTAATAGATTTAGGCAACTGACAACAATAACTTTTTTCCTAGGTAGAGTGATTTTAATGTTACAGATTGACTAAAAACAAAAATGAAATGTGTCATATATGGAAGTAATGAAACCGTATTTGAGTCATTTTGCTATAAGAACAACATTCAAGTCTTATACCTAAAGAATGTAGGTTAACTAACACGAATTATTATAATTATTATAATTATAATTATTATTATTACTATTATTACTATTATTACTATTATTACTATTATTACTATTATTACTATTATTACTATTATTACTATTATTATTATTATTATTATTATTATTATTATTATTATTATTATTATTATTATTATTATTATTATTATTATTATTATTATTATTATTATTATTATTATTATTATTATTATTATTATTATTATTATTATTATTATTATTATTAAAGGCATTTTATTAGGATAAGAAAATTTGGAAGATTACAAATAACAAGTAGGGAGCCTAGCAACAATAATACTAATAATAATAATAATAATACTAATAATAATAATAATAATAATAATAATAATAATAATAATAATAATAATAATAATAATAATAATAATAATAATAATAATAATAATAATAATTACTACTACTAATACTACTAATACTATTACTATCACTAGTACTACTATTACCCACTACTACTATTACTATTACTACTTGTATTACCATAACCATTACCATCATTATCACTATCATTATTATTATTATTATTACTATTACTATTTGTATAATAAATAATAAATTCTGTAGCTTATACGGAGTATCGCCTAGGAGACCGCCTAGGAGTATAACATATTAATATTGATATTTGAATTAGATAAATGGGTAAGGGGAAATGAAAAAATACGGAACTCAATTTAGGGGATGAAATATCGGGATTCTGTACATTGGATTGGAATAGCCGGAAGGGAGCAAAGATAAAAAAAAAATAAAAAAAATAAAAAAAAGCAGCTACTTAGTGGCTATTTCCGATTCCATCTATAAATAGGAGGTGGCTCACAGTTATTCTATGAGCAAGGGGAATTGGTGGGGTAGGCAAAATATAAAATTGCATTTTTTTAATGTGTTGTAACTTATTTATTTGTACTTCAATTTTTATAAAAATATATACTCTCTATCACAATTCATAACATTTCATTATCTTTCTTATGATATCAATATTACATATATATATATTGTTTTTTTAAATTTAAGTTTCAACCGTAGGAGTTTCTGAGATTCAAAATTTTTACTAAATAGATCCAAGTATTAAAATTAAAAGGAATAAGAGTCAGATAGGGCCTCGAACTCAAAAAAAAATGTCAAATAAGGTCATATTTAGGATGCTCTGTCCGGCCGACACCATTTGGGACGGTTCCCGATGGAATTTTTTGATGAAATTTTTTGATCATCTTCCTCATTAAGTCTAGTTTATCCATACCAAATTTTAGCTACAAATTCAACCGGGAAGGTAGTCAAATGATTTTCCGAAATGTACGGCATTGTTTAACTTCACAGTTATCTTCAAAAATTCATTTCACTACCTTCCCGGTTGAATTTTTAGCTGAAATTTGGTATGGGTAAACTAGACTTAACGAGGAAGATGCTCAAAAAATTTCATCAAAATATTCCATCGGGAACAGCCCCAAATGGCGTCGGCCGGACAGAGCATCCTAAATATGACCTTATTTGACATTTTTTTTCGAGTTCGAGACCCTATCTGACCCTTATCCCAAATTAAAATATCAGTTGTAAAATAATTGAAACATATATGTAAACGATATTTTAACAATAAATTCTTAAATTTAGAACTTGAATCTATTTAGGAAAAAAATTGGATCTTAAAACTTTCTAAAGTTGAAACTTCAAAAAATATATTAACTTTATATATGAAATATTAGTGTCTATCATAAAAAATTATGAATTTCAATATACTTTTTTTTAAATTGGAATACAAATGAAAAAGTTACATCATACAAGAAAAATGAGATTTTGCATTTGCTTTGCCCACTCTCCTCCTATCCAATTTAACCATCCACCATACCAAAGAATCAAACAATTGGAATTTGGCAATCCGAAAAACACTTAAAAAAACTAAAAAAAAATCTATTCAGAATGTGGGATTCCAAATGAGTAAAAAAAACTATTTGGAATATGTGATTCCAAACCCTAAATTGATCTGAAAGGTGCTTTCGGATTTCCATCTTTTTGGAAACAGTAATTATAACTTGTCTTTTGCTTTGATTGTTGCCTTTTCCCGTATTTTGGGGAAACACCCAAGGGTTAATTGTCAAATGCTTTTCTATAATAAGCATTTTATATATTCAATCGATCATTAATATAAGTAAGAAATAATTATATAAATATGACCAAAATAAAGATGATTTACAAAAATATGATTATTGACTAGAGTAGTAATGAAATCATAGTAATTCATGTTCAAGTTTTGAGCTTAAGTTACCACAACACCACATTGTAGTAATGAATAGTCATATTTATGTAAATATGTTTTATTTTTGTAATATTCTTGTAAAAAACCCTATAAGTAAATTAAGTATTCAAGTTACTACAAATTTGAAAGACTATCTAGATTAAAAGATAGATTCGCTACCTGAGAAGATTCTTGTGTGGACAAAACAAGGCGATGAACCAACAACATAAGAGAATCCAAAAGAACCAATAGGAAAATTGTGAAGATAAATATAGACTTGATGCCTCTACAAAGAGCCCACCTTCCATTGTGAATTCCTCCTCTAGAGGCACTGAGTTTCTCCATTGTGTTCTTATTATAGAGGCACCTTTAATTTTCTCCTCTTCCTATGCGTTTTTTTCTTTAAATTTGTATCGGTCCATCCCCATCCCCCCTCAAAAGCTTATACTCAGGTCGATGGTAGAAGATTGAAAGTAACAACTTAGCTAATGAAGCTAGAAAATTAGAATATGACGGAGTAACGGCAACATATATATATATATATACAAGATATGACATGGAGTGGAAGTTAAGGTAAAGAATAGTTGTAGAGAATGAAAGTTATAAAATGGAGTAAAGTTGAAGACTGCATGCAGCTACGTAGCTCATATTAATATAATAATATACCAAATATAATTAATAAAGAAGAAATTGCTCTGGATTAAAACACAATAAAAGTTTTGAAATAAGACAAGCCGGTCTTGGCGGTTTAGAGGGCCTAGGGGCGAGTCCGCGAATGTTCTATAATAGGCCTATTTTTAAAAAAGATATTGTATTTTTTTTCTCAAATCACTATAAAAAAACACGGGATTGACATGAATTTTTTGGCAAGGATTTTGGCAGGGAAATACACAATCCGTGCCAAAAACAGTTTGACACGAGCTATTTGGCACGAATTTCAAAACATTTTTACTCCTATTTAAGACAATTTCTGTAATTTTTTTGTAGTGAATATTTTCTCTACTTTTCTCACTAGCTTTATCGCATCTAGATTCATCCAATTTTCTTACACTTTAAAATTAATTAAAATCCAATTAGCACAGCTTTGCCATTCACGGGGTGGGGATCGACTTGTTAGGGCCCCTACCTACCGCATCCGGAGGGAGGAAGTACATCATAGTGGGGATAGATTATTTTACAAAATGGGTAGAGACCGAACCACTAGCCATCATCACGGAGTTCCAGTGTCAGCGTTTTGTCTAGCAAAACATCATTTATCAGTTCAGACTGCCCGAACAAATCATCACTAACAACAGCCAGCAATTCAATGGCAAGGGATTTGAGGAGTTCCTGACCAAATGGGGTATCAGACATTCAAAAGCCTCAGTGGCCTATCCACAGGCGAACGGACAGGTGGAGAACATGAATCGAACCATCATGATATGGATGGGATGAAAAAGAAACTAGAAGATTATTCTTCCACCTGGCCAGACCAGTTAAACTACATCCTAGGGCTGGGCAAAATGGTTTGAATTGATTGAACCGAACCGAACCCAACCTGAAAATTGGTGGTTTGGTTTGGTTTGATTTGGTTTGGTTTGGTTTGGTTTGGTTTAGGTCTACTTAAGTAAACCGATTGGTAGAAATTTTCTCAAACCAAATTGTTTGATTTGGTTTAAAACCGAAAAACCGTAAACCGAACCAAACACCGAACCACTTGTAATATATATAAATGCTTCGTATTTTTATTCACTCTTTATCCTTAGTATATAAATAATTTAGACATAAAAATATAAATTTAGCATATATCATTTTAACTTTTACACATTTCATACATTCATTATGACAAGATTAGCTAATACGACATATTTGTATTTGCTATGTTTTGCAGTTTTGTATTCTACTTGTATGAAAAGATATTTAGCGATAACAATAGCAAATTACGCTTATAGTTTTTACACGATTTATTTGAATAAAGTTGTGAATATTACAACATTTGCACCACTTACTCATTTAGTTTTCTTTGAATACTTAATGTGATATTATAAATTATAATCAACTATAAATTTATTTTTCGTGAGAAGGGAATCTGTGTCTAGTGATTGAAAAGATGTTAGAAGTTTTAATTATACGTAGTAATATTTTATTATTTCTTTTTCTATCTTTTATTTTATTTAATATTTTATTAATCTTTTATTTATTATCTTCTAAATAATAAATAAAAGAAGATGAGATGGACTACTACTTTCACTTTTTTTATCATCGAACGGACATTCATTCATAAAAAGCACTCAGAAAGGAGTTGAAATAACAAAAAGACCACATGTAACCATCCAAACACCGAACCACTTGTAATATATATAAATGCTTCGTATTTTTATTCACTCTTTATCCTTAGTATATAAATAATTTAGACATAAAAATATAAATTTAGCATATATCATTTTAACTTTTACACATTTCATACATTCATTATGACAAGATTAGCTAATACGACATATTTGTATTTGCTATGTTTTGCAGTTTTGTATTCTACTTGTATGAAAAGATATTTAGCGATAACAATAGCAAATTACGCTTATAGTTTTTACACGATTTATTTGAATAAAGTTGTGAATATTACAACATTTGCACCACTTACTCATTTAGTTTTCTTTGAATACTTAATGTGATATTATAAATTATAATCAACTATAAATTTATTTTTCGTGAGAAGGGAATCTGTGTCTAGTGATTGAAAAGATGTTAGAAGTTTTAATTTATACGTAGTAATATTTTATTATTTCTTTTTCTATCTTTTATTTTATTTAATATTTTATTAATCTTTTATTTATTATCTTCTAAATAATAAATAAAAGAAGATGAGATGGACTACTACTTTCACTTTTTTTATCATCGAACGGGCATTCATTCATAAAAAGCACTCAGAAAGGAGTTGAAATAACAAAAAGACCACATGTAACCATCCGCCCGTGGACGAGACTCCGAGTTAATCACCTTTGACAAAACAATATAACTCGCTAATCCTAAATTGGGCATATTCAAAACCACGATGATTACCGCAGGCCTCTCATCCCCCAATCCAAGTGCAAAAGTCTTACAACATAAAATAAATAAGCAACAAAACACATTCGAAATAAAATAAAAACAAAACACAATCGAATCAACAGAAATAGAAATACTCGTCCAAACCCTAGTCGCAGAATTCCTCCAAGGCGGCGGTTCTGGAGGTGGGCGGATCAACACCCCTTCGTCTTCTTTCACACATAGGCCACCAATGAACCCTTGAAATTTGATTTTCCAGTCCGACAGCACGATGTCGACCACCAGAAACTCCATGCTTTCACCAATAACCATCTGTTTCGTCAAAGCTCGTTCCCAAGCTGCCGAAGAATAACAGCTCGTCTTCGTCTTCAACATTATGCAGCACCCCATCTTCCCCTTGCTAAACCCGTCCCCTGCCAAAATCAGAAGCCTCGAACCCTCCTGAAAGCTTCCTCGCTGCTCTTGTAAAGCAGAAAAACCAAAAGCTTCGTCCAGACAGAATCCAGATTCACCACAATTGCAAGTCAGAAAGAAAACAAAAATGAAACAAACAAACCCCGCGCTGACAACAGAACTCAATACCCTGAGAAGATATATGAGATAAGTTGCCTACCGGGGAGAGATCGGCCGAACCCTCGGTCTGGATAGGCCGCCGCCGGAAAAAACTAGGCTAAAACCTAGAGAGAGCCTTCTCGTATTTCTTAGCGGATAATAAATTAGATTAGATTTATTATCCTCTAAGAAATATACTTTCACTTTCTAATTCTAAAATATATTCCGTAGAATTTAATCAAATAAAATAATAAACATAAAAAACCGAATCAAATCAAACTAATTTGAACATAAAGTTTTCACTTTGGTAAACCGAATGATGGAGTATATGGCCTAGGAACCCCCGGCCCACAGACTCCTACTCTTCCTACAAAGGCCCATTAAGCCCACGGGGCATCTGAGGCCCAAATACGGCGGCCCAAGTCTCAAAGAAGCCCAAAGTACACACTGGGGTGCCTTCGGCCTCCTCGGCCGAAGGCTCCAAAACTCATAGGATAGCCTTCTTTGGGCATACGAAGCTACTGGGAGAAAACGGCAGAAAACAGTAGCCTTCGGCACTGTTCAGCCCTCGGCATCAGAGAAGCCTTCGGTTGAACCAAGCTTTCGGCTACACAGAGCCCTCGGCTGCATGAAGCCCTCGGCTCCATAAAGAGCCCTCGGCTAAACAGACTCAATCATCGAAGATTCCCTTTGGAGACAGCCAACCTCCGCATTTAATGCGACGTCACATCCACCCACCACATTCAATGCGGTGAACATGTCGCTGCCGGTGCTACCCCGATTGATGTGACCCCTCGGTCGTTGGATTACTGACACGTGTCCTCTCATCGCATTTATTGCTGCTATAAATAGCAGCCCATTTCTCCTTGTAAATGATCCGAGATACACATCTCAACACGCTGAGTTCATTTAATAAAATCGACTCTCTCTCCTCCTATTTGCTCTGACTTCTCTCTAGTTATTCCCGCAATAACCCCTCGGATAAGATACCCCCCGGGTAGACTATCCATCACCGAACTTCAAACCGAATCGACCGAAACCAAACCGAAACACAAGTGGTTTTAGTTTGGTACAAATTTTCCCAAACCGAATAAACCGAAACCAAACCAAAACCAAAGAAAACCAAACCGTAAACCTAATTGCCCATCGGGGAAATTCCGGGGAAACCCCGGTGGACGTGTCGGACAACCCCAAGGACCGCCACCGGGGAAACCCCTTTGGTTCTATCGTATGGTTTCCAGGCCAAGGTCCCGACCGAGGTTTTGGTGCCATTCACTGGTGGCACATTTCAATCTCAATCAGAACGAAGAATCATTGGGAGCCGAGTTGCACTTCATCGAGAAATGAAGGGACTTGGCCACCAGAAGGATTGAGGAATACCACCGAGCGACTCAGAGATATTCTGACAAAAAAGGTCAAGAACTTGGACTTCGTCCTCAGGAAAAGAGAAAAGAGCAAGCCGCTCGAGAGCGGCAAGTTATCCAAGAACTGGGAAATCCCGTACCAAGTTTGGCGTAATTATGCAATCAAGACTTTCGGTCTCAAAACAACAGAGGGCCGACCGGCTGGAACCTGAAATGTTAAGAACTTGAGAATATTTTACCAATAATCACCGAACGGCTATAGCCACCTCTGAAAAAAGGGAGACAGAGCTCCCAGAAGATGCCACAAGTATGGACAAACTGCTTCGAAAGTATCGAGCGGGGGTATCGAAATTATGGCTTAAATCTTACCTCAATAATAAGTATGGACAAACCGCCTCGAGGGAATCAGACGGGGGAATTGAAACTGTGGTTTGGAAGTTGGTCGTCTTCTCAATCATAAGTATGGACGAACCGTTTTGACTGGATCAAATGGGGGTATCGAAACTGTGGTTTGGAGATAGGCGCCTTA